CAAGTACCCGGAGCACGGGAACCCGGCCATCCTACTCATGGGATCCGCCAACGGCGGGCCCGTGGTCAAAACTGACTCGCAGCAACCCCTGGTCTGGCCCGCCTGGGTCTACTGCACGCGCTACTCGGACCGCCCGTCCTCCGGTGAGTACCCACGCTGGGGCCGCCCGGTGCCTTCCCGCTGGGCGGCCGCCCTCAGATCTCCAAGCCGCCGCGCTGGGCACAACAAACCCAGTTTCAAGGGCTCCCACCTCTCCTCCCGGTTTTCTTCTCACACCGCCTCCCCTCCCCCGGTTCCAGCCTAAACTGAATGAATAATCCACTCTTGCGATCCTGGTTTCTGTAGCCACTCCTCAGAAGTTAACAATTCCTGAGCTAGGAGGCTTGAGGCGCGGTCTTTTGCTTTTTGGAACTTGGAGCCCGTGGAGGCTTCTTTGTGTTTTACGTTTATCAATATTACGAAAGATATAAACTTAATTTATTTTTCTTCTGCAAGAAAAAAGAAAAAATAGATATTTAGAAGCTGGCCAGATGGTAGGCCTAGCAACCTGAGTTTGAAATCCACCAGCCCGATCATTGTGGAAGCCGGCTTTAATCTTGGGCAGGTTAGGGCCAAAATAATCATCTTCCTCTTGTGTTCTTACAGACAAACATTATCTTTATATTTTCTGTAGTGATTCCATTTACATAGAAACAAATAGGGGGGGCATACAGGATGAGGAGGGGTGGGGGGTTAACGCCATTCTCCTCTTCTAACCTTCTTGCAACAGAGTAGGTCGCGGCTTGATCTAATTCGGAAAAAGGTAGTGCCGGAAAGGCGAGTGCCCCAGGTGCCCGTTCTCTCTGAAGCTGGAAATGTGGGAGAGGAAAGAAAGCAGGTTAGGCTCGGTAGGGCAAAGGGCAGGTGAGCCAGCCTTCTCCTAAGCTGCTTCCATGTGGGATTTCCATGGCCCAGCGGCCCTGCCCTTTCCCTCTGTCTTTTTTTCCTTCCACACATCTGCCAGTTAGTAGATTACTGCCAGCCAAAGGCCGGTTTTTCTCAGCTTTTCTATTACTCTTGGTCTGTGTGCCCGTCGAGCCTGGCAAACCCAAGGCCAAGAACTGCCCAGAGGAGAGGGAGCAAGGCCTGCAGGACTCTTCGGCTGGGAGAGTGCGGGAGACCAGCTGGGATCGCTGGAAAAGCAGCAGGGGCTTGATCCAGTAACTGATCAGGACTCCGGGGCCGAGGTCCACCGGAGGGCCCGGCACCGCGCAGCCACGTAAGGCCTTCTTCCTGCCTGGTCTCTGGCTGTCTTGCTGCTGCGGGCCAAGCGCAGATCGATGTGCGCTATCAGCCCCCGCCATCTCGAGCCCCGTTATTGACACGTCGGGCTCCCTGAACCTCCGAAAAGCTGCTTTGATTGACTAGCCTGATGGATAGAGTGATTGAGCTGTCAGGCTGCGCAGCTCGGGCTGGCCAGGAGGCTACGATTTTATTACAAGTGTCCGTGCCTGCGCGCACACACACAACACCACTCCAACATGCCCCAGACTCTCAAGGCGTAGCCGGCCCTTTCTGTGGATGTTCACATTTCCTGGGCCATCTCTGCCAGCTCAGTCAATGACTCATCTAAACCCCAGTCCTGCCCTGGAGTGGGCCTTGTCTTTGTTCCTGGATGGTCCTTCTTGTAGGCCTGGAGACCAGATCTTTCTCCTGAATGGGCAGTTCAGGGGAATGCACCCCAATCCAGATCTGAGTTGCTGCAGTGTGCTAAACCTGGAGCCTTTGTCATAGACAGCTGGTGGCCCCGGCCCAGGCCTGCCTTCAGGATCCAGTTACCCATCTTACCCTCTGTTGCTGGATTTAGAGATGCCAGCAAAGACCCTTCTTGCTAGACAGCTTTTGATAAATCGCCCACATGATAGGGACCTGACTCCATAGGCTTTTGTAATGGAGACAAGGCCCAGTAAGTCAATGCCAGAGACCTGGGCATGGAAGCCAAGACACCCGCTCAGCCTTTCAATGCACAGACCAACAATTGAATCCTCTCCTGGATCGCTCCATGCCCTCCATTCTCTCTCCAGGGTTGGACCCCAAGGCAGCCCTTCTTTGGGCATAGCATTCAAGACCACAGTACAGATTTCTGTGGTCCATGTCACCGTCCTCTGTTCTTGTTTTGCTTATGGAAAGGGAGTAGGATGTAGTCTTGCTAATGCTGTGGGTAGAAAGAGAAAGCTAGACTTGGTTTGTTTCTGTTGTTCAGTTTCCCAGCCTGGAATGACAGAGCCTGTTCAAAGGAGAGATAGCAAGTTTGGCATGGGCAGCTGGGGAGGGCCTCATTTTCCTCACTGATACCATCCAAGAAGCAAAGCCCAGATGATGGGATAGAGCCTGCAGCCCAGTGAAGGTCTCTTCTTCCCCTTTAGAAAAGAGGCAATGCTCTAGAAAGGGCTTCCTTTAGGCCAGAGAGAAAGAGATGGTAGAAAGAGCAGATACTAAATTCTTTGGAGCCGGCCACTTTTGTAGAGCCTTCTCCCTGTCCCTTCTGCAGGCTATGACAGGCTTCTGGATATGGGTAGCTAGCTTCTTGAGAACTAAGGGGGAGCCAGTTTGCAGAGCAGCTGCATTTCCTCAGGGCCAGTCCCCACCATTCTTCTTTCTGAATTCCCAGGGTAGGAAGAAGAGGGCTACCACTTTCAACTCCAGGCTAGGCCTAACGGGACTCCAAAATCTTAATCTTGGATTCCCACCTTTTTGGCTGGGAATCACTGTGATTTAAGTCTGTTCCCCGTTCTCCTTGGAGTGCAGATGTACCTATATCCTCGGCCAGTTTTCCTCCTCTGCGGCTTCTTTGCCTATTCCGCAGATGGGAAACAGAGACCCCAGTGGCCCAGCCAGGGGCTCTTTGATGCAAGAAGGGAGCTGGGGAATTCCCTCTCCCCTTCCCCCCTGCAGGGCCTACCGCGATCACCCCGAGAGCTCGGGGCGCGAAGTCCGGCCGACACTGCCATTCTCACGGTTTCCTCTGCCCTCTCTCCACCCCCACCCCCTTTTTGCCCTCGGTCCCCACCCCCTCTCCCGGCCTTCCCCGCCGCTGCAGGTCCGCGCACCAGGAAGCTGAAGAAGAAGAAGAACGAGAAGGAGGACAAGCGGCCGAGGACGGCGTTCACGGCCGAGCAGCTGCAGAGACTCAAGGCGGAGTTCCAGGCGAACCGCTACATCACCGAGCAGCGGCGGCAGACCCTGGCCCAGGAGCTCAGCCTCAACGAGTCGCAGATCAAGATCTGGTTCCAGAACAAGCGCGCCAAGATCAAGAAAGCCACGGGCATTAAGAACGGCCTGGCGCTGCACCTCATGGCCCAGGGACTGTACAACCACTCCACCACCACGGTCCAGGACAAAGACGAGAGCGAGTAGCCGGCCGGGGCCGAGAGCGGTCGGGCGGGCCGTGGCGCCCGCGCCCCCTCCTGGCACCGCCGCCGCCGCCACCGCCTCGCCGGCCCCAGGCCCGGGGAAAAATCATAAGAGCAAAAGAGAGAGGAAGCAACAAGAAGAGACTGAGAGAGAGAGAGAGAGAGAAAGAGAAAGAGAGATCCGCAGAATGGACAGTCACATCGGAAGGAAAGGTTTTGGAAAAGGGAGACTCGGACAGGTGCTATGAAAAAAAAATAGGATCTATTCTTTATTCACAGTATAAGGGACGAAACTGCGATCTCCTTAAAGCTCTATCTAGCCAAACTGCTTACCACCTTGTATATATTTAATTTCAGGTAAGGAAAACAAATATGTGTAGCGATCTCTATTTGCTGGACGTTTTTATTAATCTCCTTTATTATTATTGTTATAATTATTATAATTATTATAATTATTTTATCCCCCCCTTCCCTGTCCCTGCCTCGCTGACCCTCGACCCAGTTTCGTTTTCGTTGCATTTTTTCCCCCTCCTCTTGAATATTTTTGCTTCTCCCGCTCCGCATCGCTGGCTCTCATTTCTCTGGGACTTTTTTTTCTTTCTTTGTGTGCGTGAGAGTGTGTTTCCTCCCGTGTCTGCCCTTTCCCTCTCCTCAAAACTCCCAGGATCCTTCTGTCTGTCTGTCTGTCTGTCCTGCCTTCCCCTCTTTCGTTTTCTGGAGACTCGTTGAGAAATACGACCCCACAGACTGCGAGACTGAACCGCCGCTACAAGCCAAAGATTTTATTATGTTCAGAAACCTGTAGTCTGAAATAAAGTGTACACTGTGCTTACGAGCGGCTGGCAGCCCTCCTCTTTTCGGGGCTTGGGAAGGGCGTGGGCCGGGCACTCTTGGGGGCCCTACACTGCATGCAGAACTTGGGTGTCTTGATGGGGGCATTAAAATTTCAGGCCCATTAAAGGTTGGGGAGGCCAGAGGCGAGGGGTAGTGGCCGAGGCTGCGCAGATTTGGGTTTGGCCTCGGTCTGGAGGGTCTAGAGGGAAAGCCTGGTGTCTGATTGTGTTCAGGCGAACCCAAAGGCCGGCAAGTCCTTTTCTGACTTCAGATTTGGCTTGTGGGTTGATCTCTTTATGAGGTTGTCTGACCCAGACAACCGATTTTCCCACTTTTCAACCTGTCCCCCTTCCCACCAGCCTCCACCCTTCATTTTCTTCTTTTCCTTTGGTGCGGGTTTTGCTGGAGGTTTTTCTCCTCCAAAGACGGAAGGCCTTTCCAAGAGGGGCCATGGTAGAGGGCTGTGTGAATCCGGGGGTTGAGTGGCTGGCTAGTTCAAAGGAGCTTTGGCTGAGCTGCTGTGGCTTCAAATTCACCTCTAGGTTTGGGGGAATAATTGCGTTTGCAAGCCGGGGGGCCTGGGTGGTACAACAGTGCTCACTGGGCTCTATTCTCATACTCCTACAAAGCCAAGAAGGAGAATGCCAAAAGACCTGGAGAGCGGTACTGAGTAGCGCCACTTGGTTCTGCTTTGGGCCTAGAATCCCAAAGTGGGCATGGGGCTGCTTCGGAACCCCAACAAAACCTGGCTTACTTCTTCACTCAGGAGGAGGATACATACAGAAATCCTCAGGACTATCTGGGCACCTGGAAGTCCCAACTGGAAATGTCTGGTTTCTTGCTGGTCATGTAGGCAGGTCCTGGGTGATATATTCAGGGGTTAGGAAGGAGAGGCGTTCACTCTTCAGGAATACCACCTCCCCTTTGTCTAGGATTTCTAACAATTATAAATTCTGCCTTGCTCTTCTCTCTTGTTCAGTAGGTATGCATTGTATTAGTGTATGGATGTGTGCAGGTGGCTAGGTAGATGTCCACATGTTCTTAGTGTACATATAAGGGGATGTGCACACTTTAGCACATATAACAGAATGTCTAAGTTCTGTTTTAAGTGTTTTCTGACACAAAACATTTACTTTGTGCAAATGGGCGCTGCGATTGGGTGCACAAATGGGCATTGGTGAGCTCATGGGTGTGTATGTGCTCATTTTTTGTTTGCACATTGGAATGTTTGTCAAGAGTGTTTTTAGTATTCGTGCATACGTGGCAACTCTGTCTCTGTGCTTTTCCATCTGGTTTCTTTCCTGTTATTTTGGTAGGATTGATTTTTGTGAGAAATGGAAACTCCACTTTTTTTTTCTTGAAATAGTCTCCTCTAATTTGAACCAATGTTTCACTCATTTCTGACAGTGCCAGGCTCCATAGCCAGCAAGCCCCTAAGGGCCCCAATCTAAGTCTTTGCACAAGGCTTTGGGAACTTGGGGTTTAGTGCACTGGAGTGGACCCAGAAGATATATTTGGCATTGCTGTAGGTCCTTATCTTTATTGCAGTAGCTACTTTTCATCCATCTATGCCTCTCTATCTGTCTGTTTCACTGTCTCACTGTTTTTGTACCCTCATACATAATAGGTGCACAAACAATCCTTGTGTGCAGAGAGACAGAAGCAGTGGATCGGGTCCTTCTCTACTGGCTCTAAGCAGGGACTGTTACCCTTGGGGGAGTAGAACTTGAAATTTTCAAGTCCTACAGTCCATCTGGTTCAGCTGTCTGAGACCTGGGACTCCTGGGCATACTTTAATCTGAAACTCTCAGAAGTCAGGAAAGGTTCCCCAAGTCCCACCTCTCATGGCCTGCCCCCCAATACATCTGGAGGTAAGGCTAAGGATGCTCAGCTCCGCAAAAAACTTTACTCTTTTGAGTGATGAGGAATTTGGCCACCCTCATTCCTCTCTTCCCTACTGTGGGTATCTAAGGTCCCTATCCCACCAGGTTCAGAAGCTGGGACAATGGAGAAGCTCTAAGTTCTCATTCTTTAAGGTTCCTCTACAGAGAGATCAGAGCAAAGAGCTCTTCCCTCTAGAGTCCACTGGAAAGGGAGGGGGATGGTCACCTCCTGAGGGTGTTGTTAGAGTGATAGATGTTGAGCACGATTATTATGTAATTTGATTTTCCTTTATCTTCTAATAGAATAGAATTTTCTTCATTATCTACTGCAAGAAACGGAAGCTCTGGGAACTTAAACATTATGTTCTGTTTCCTGGGTGCCTGTGTCTGTCTGTTCAATACACCCCAAGTATCTGGCCAAGGGTCTAAAGTCTCAGTCCAAAATGATCTTTCTACCCCTGCTCCTTTTCTCCCACTTTCCAATTTTCCTTCTTGATTGGAGCAGAGAAGAGGTGAGGAGGACTCTGGTTAGACCTTTTTCTTGTACCCCTTCTAAAAAGAGAGAGAGAGAGAGAGAGAGAAAATAGTAATGATCATAAACAGGCATTGATTTCTCTGATTTATGGGGCTAGCTTATTGAGCTGCCGGTGTATTAAAGTTAAGATAAATACTTGCGCACAGCATCCCAACTTCCTCATTTTCTGCCTTTCCCCCCCTTTTTCTTTTTCTTTTCTCTCTTAAAGATTGGATTGAACCATAAACTTAAATCTTCCTCAGCCAGTGAGGAAATTCACACTAGCCAAGTCTAAACAGTATTGATCCTTGGCTCTTTTGGAGGGCAAAGGTCTCTGTGTTTTCCTTGGAAACTCTTTTTACTTTGGCAGAATCCTGGGGAACCATAGGTGGGGATGGAAGATAGAGCTTGTGTTAAGAGAGGGTATTATGATGTTTGGGTTTGTGTGTTCTTAGATGTCCATGCATCATCGTACCTGTACCAGTTGTGAGCATTTGTATAGGGGGATGTGTATATATGGATATACTTATTTAGGTTGAGAGATAGAAGATGGTGCTTGGGTGCTTGAGCCCATGGGTTCAGACTGCTGGTAACTGGTGTTTATGGGAATATGTATATGCCTACCACTGCCTGTGGCCTGTGTTTGGGCTTCCACAAATGAAGCCAACTGGGATGCCACATGCCTCAGGATTCTTCCACTCCCTCTACTGCCCTCAGTAAGAAAATCCAACAAGGATAAGTTGCCAGGGTAGAGGGGAGCTTTGACTGGTAGTTAAAAGATGCAGTAAGTGAAGGTCAGAGACCCCAGAGAGGACCATTCTCCATGAAGGGGATGTTGTAGCTTCTTGGGAGTGGCCATCAGTTCTTATTCCTTTTTGCACAGGAGTAAAGCCATTCCTTTGACAGTATGGGCCAACTTCTCAGCTCTCCCTTGCACTCTGACTCAGCTGAGAAGGTTGCCCTTGACCTTGCATGAGTACTTGTGGAAAGAGGAATGGCTGGGGACTCTGGCCAGTCTTTCAGTGCAACCCCTGTGTTGAAGGTATCCTTGAATAAAAGGTTTCACTTTACATGTGGAAAAATGGGGAGGCAGAGGGTTACCTGCCTTCCTCAAAAGCACATCACAAGTGTGAGAGAGGCAGAGTCCTCAGATTTCCTTTTGTCCTAGGGGTCTTCTCACGTGCCACCAAATGGGTGGCATAATGAACACATAGGCAAAACATACATATGCACCCACTCATGTGTAAATGTGTGTACAAATGGACTGATGCCAAGGAGTGTATTCACAGCAAACACAGGGATAGTGTCAGAGTAGAAGGTTTTGGCACATGCATATGGGCTAATAATATACATACTAGTAGCAACCAGAACCTGTGTGCCCAGACTGGTGTGCTTCATTACTAGCCAGAGTAGGGGACAGGATGATATCTGCAGGGCTAGGAATAGATGCACATGCCTCCTCTTCTCCATGGAGGCCACCTGAAAGAACTGTAATGGAGGAAGAAGGCTCCCTAGCAGGAGTTAGTGAAGAGTGGGAGCATAGCCCAGGAAGGCCAGTCTCTTTCCTGGGGAAGCTGGACCCAGGTGCCTGAGCTCAGACATAGATCCTGCTACAAACTCTCCAGGGAGCATGCATACAATGCCTGTCCAGCTATGGGGAGTGGAGCATGCTGGGACTGGGGCAGGCAAGAATTCTAAACAGACTTCTCAGAGTTGGGCCAGTCCCGGGTCATTGCAATTTTTACCTCCTGAGTTTGCTTCCACATTTTTTTT